TCTCATTTGATTATATTGGGGATGGTACTAATTTTAAGAGGAGAAAGTATGAAGAATCTATTAAAACTCTTAGTGCTAGTTGACTACTTTTGACAATATGTCTTACTCCTAACTTTTTTAATATCTTTTGACTTTCATGGAATTTTATTTAATTAAAATCTATTATCATTTTCATCCATTAAATTATTAAATTATAGTTGTAGATTAGTCCTTTTTTTTTTTACATAATTGTTATTGTAGATCCCAAATATTTGAATTCATTTTACTTTATATTAAACAATTATGCTCTTTAAATTAAATGCCTTAATTTTTATATTCTATTAGAATTCTTTAATTTTTATATGTTTAAATAGTTTAAATAATTTTTAATTACAACTATTTCTTTTGTTTGAGAAATCATTAGTTAATTTGGATTATATAAACATTTAAGAAGCTATTCAAATTTAATTATTATATTTAAAGACTTATATTATTTAGAATAGGGATTAATGTGAGACTTCGAGTGTTAAAAACTATTAATTTAAAAAATAAAATATTAAATTAATTCAAATTTAATTATTATATTTAATTATTAATTTGTTTTTAAACTTGAATGTGGGCTACTATTTGTAATGACCCAACCGGTCATTTTAACTTTTAGAATCCCGTTCCCTAAAATAAAACTTCCTGTAGGTGCTTGTAATAATTTATGACTTGCGGGGATGATTGGTTCGGGATTTGGAAGTGTTTTGGGTGAAACCAGAACACTTGGTTTCTTAAGTTGGCCTTAAAGTGCTAAGTTTGACTTCGGTCAATATTTTGAGAAAACGACCCCGGAATAAAATTTTGATGATTCCAACAGCTCCGTATGGTGATTTTAGACTTAGGAGCATGTTCGGAATTTTATTTGGAAGTCCGTAGTTAAATTAGGCATGAAATGGCTAAAAACAAGAACTTAAGTTTGGAAATTTGACCGATGAGTTGACTTTTTCATACCGGAGTTGGAATCCAGTTCTGAAAATTTTTATAGCTCCGTTATATAATCTATGACTTGTGTGTAAAATTTTAGGTCAATCGGAGTTGATTTGATAGGTTCCGGCATTGAATGTAGAAGTTGAAAACTCTTAGTTTCATTAAGCTTGAATTGGGATATGATTCATGGTTTTAGCGTTGTTTGATGTGATTTAGAGGTTCGACTAAGTTCGTATGATGTTTTAGGACTTGTTGGTATATTTGGTTGAGGTCCCGAGGGCCTCTGGTGAGTTTCGGATGGTTAACGGATCAAAAATTTGAGTTAAAAAGCTGGTGCAATTTTTCCTCTTCTGTTGGACATCCTGGGCTGTGATCGATCCCAGATATCGAGCCTAGGGTTGACGAGGTACAGGCTTGAGCTAGTGTATCGAAGCCATGATCGAAGGTCCAGCTCGAGGGCCATGATCGAAGGCAAGGCTCGAGGGCCAGGATCGAGACCCAAGATCGAGGGTCACAATCGAAGGCTCAAGCTCGATGCCATGATTGAGGCTATGATCGAAGGCTCAACCTCGATACCCTGATCAAGGCCATGACCGAGGTCCAGGCTCGAGCCTGTGATCGAAGCCGCGATCGAAGGCAAGGCTCGAGGGCATGATCGAAGGTATGGCTCGAGGCCATGACCGAGGTCCATGCTTTAATAATTTATTTCAGCTTGTGAAGCTAATTAGTAAATTGAAAAATCTTCGGAATTTAATGAATTATTATTCTTGCTTGTTAAGAAATTAATTGTTACTCTTGTAAATGAGATTTAATTGATAAATTAGAATTTATTTGAATTGAAGGAATTTAATTAATATATTGAGAATTTATATATTTGAAGGAATTTGATTATTTTCGCTGATTAAATAAATTATTGTAAATTCTGTAAATCATGCTGATTTAAATATCCTAATTTTATTTCAATTATTATTGACCTATAGTGAGTGTCAAAGTCGGTCATCTCGTCTCTACCACTTCGAGATTAGGCTTGATACTTACTGGGTACACGTTGTTTACGTACTCATACTACACTTGCTGCACTTTTTGTGCAGGATCTGAGACAGGTACTAGTGGAGGACCTATCATCACATACCCACGTCATCCCGAGGCATAGTGGTGAGCTGTCTTTCTGAGTCGTTCTGCAGCTATCAGTGTCTCTTCTGATATTTATATTCTGTCTATTTTATTTCAGACAGTATTTGGAGTTTTGTATAATCTACTAGATGCTCATGCACTTGTGACACCGGGTCTTGGCATACACATTGGTAGAAATTGGTATTTTATTATCTTCTTGGAATAAAAGTTTAACCAATGTATGTTTGACTTATTAGTTGGCTTGCCTAGCTGTAGTATTGGGCGTCATCACGACCTATAGGTGAAATTGGGTCGTGACACTATTTGGATGTTTTTATGCCCAAAATTGTTAAGTTTAATGGTTGGTATTGGTGGTTTAGGTTGTGTTAGTGGTTGGTATTGTTGGTTTAGACTGTGTTAGTGGTTGGTACTGTTGGTTTAGATTGTGTTAATGGTTGGTATTGTTGGTTTAGATTGTGTTAATAGTTGATTGGTTGTTAGCGTTATTGTATTGTAATAGTTTGACATGTGGTGTAGCTCAAAATTGGGCAGAATGCTGCCCCGTTTTACAGAAAATTCCGACTGATTTCCGACGGAAACAGTCGAACAGCTACCCAAATTTTGCCAAAAATTCCTAGATTTCCGACCGATTCGGTCGGAAATTTTTTAAAAAAATTAATATTTAAAGGTTTTCGACTGATTCCGTCAAAAATTAAATAAAATATATTTTTTAATTATTAATCTCCAACCAATTCGATCGGAAATTATATATTTATATTATTTAATTTTAAATAAATAATTATTTTTATTTATATTATTACGACTGATTCGGTCGGTAAATTTCGACCACTTTGGTCGGAAATTTGAAAATATTTGGTCGTCTGATCTTTTGAACGTTCCGATTACTTTGGTCGGAAATCACCGACGGATTCGGTCGGAAATTATTTTCCGACCGACCAATTTTGATCGGAAAGTAGTCGGAAATTCGTGATTTTCGACCGTTTTGGCAGTCGGAATTCTGCCATTTTCCAGTATTGTACCCTATAAAAAATAAATGTTAAATCCAACCCGTTATTCGTGTAAAGATCCCTAAACTAGACACTCGATTTCTAACACTATTCCATTGTTCGATTGGTGTTGGGTCATTAAATTGGAATAAACATATCTTGTTATAAGTGCTGAAATTAACCAAAGTCTTAAACAAAACTTTAGAAAGAGTATATATCTAATGTTCTTGGACGATCAAGAAAATTTACGAAAAAGACCTTATAGCAACCACTTTGTTTCCTTCTAATTTCCTTTTTTCTTCAAGAGACCTATTGCTAAAAATAAGACGAAAGAAACCTTATAGCAACCACTTATTTTCTTCTTAAAAAACTTTCTTCAAGAATAACTTGCGAAATCGGACAGATAATGAATTTTAGGCGGTTCTGTAGTGCTTTATATTGAAAAAAATCAGTGCACCCATTCATTGAAAATTTTCTTATTTATGAAATGAGTAGACTCCACATGTTCAAATTCTACGAGAAAAACCCAACTCCATTAGGGATCAAGGGCAAAGACGAGACTTTTTCCCAATAGCAGGGGTAATATTATCCCAAAACTCTAATGGATGGCAAAGTCGATCAGTATCGGATATTACAAGAGAAAATTTGACCTTTTTCTCTTGATAAAATACGTAAATCATTTGGATAATACGCAAATCATTTGTTAATTATCTAAATCATCAATATTTAATGGACTAACTATTTTCTAAAAGATAATATCCACGGTACTTGTCAATACAGACATGCATGCATATTTATAACCATCGACATCTTCTTACAAATAGATTCTACGGAATTCTATGCCTATATAAGACAAATGGCATTGCATAACAAACATTACTATGCCTAAGAAGCAAAAAGCTCCCCCCCCCAAATGAGAGAAGAAGAGATTTCACTGATTGAGAGAAGAAAAAGCTACTATTAAATATCAGTAAGTGTCCTATGTTACATGACTGATGCTTTGCAACAAAAAGAATCTAATGTCCAAGTAGCCTAATCCATTTTAGCATTGTTTTCCTGAGGTCATTTGATCAAAAGAAATTTCCAGTCGTTCTCTTGCAGCTAGAAGACAGTGTTGTTATGTTTTCCAGTCATGACTTGTGAGCCATTGTTTAATGGTCCCTTTCTGCTGGACCCTAATTATTTTTCTTTTGAGCAGTAAAAGTCTTGACATACTGTATTGCTGCAGATAATTACACACCTTTAGTTTGCCCTTCAAATTGTTTGCCATGCTCAGCAACTCCAATATTTTACTTGTTCACTTAAAAACCTCACAAAAAACATTCCTTTGGCAGCTGAAGATCAAACCTTCTTGAACCTCACTCACTAATTTTCATTTTAAATTTTAGTGCTTTACCTAGAGAATGAGATACAGATATTTCCGGACTCATCAACACTTTACTTGTTTAGTTTTGTAGATGCAGTGGGCCTGAACCATGTTAACAACTTTACACTAAGGTGAGCACAAAGCAAGACAGAATAAGGAAGTGAATTTTTTTTAAGAAAGATGAATTGCAAAATGTGGGGAGCCACCCCAAGAGCAAGGTGGGGAATTCTTGGAGGGAGGGAGCCGAGGGTCTATCGGAAACAGCCTCTCCACCCCAGGGTAGGGGTAAGGGTAAGGTCTGCGTACACACTACCCTCCCCAGACCCCACTAGTGGGATTATACTGGGTTGTTGTTGTTGAATTGCAAAATGTGGGGAGCCACCCCAAGAGCAAGGTGGGGAATTCTTGGAGGGAGGGAGCCGAGGGTCTATCGGAAACAGCCTCTCCACCCCAGGGTAGGGGTAAGGGTAAGGTCTGCGTACACACTACCCTCCCCAGACCCCACTAGTGGGATTATACTGGGTTGTTGTTGTTGAATTGCAAAATGTCAAAATTTATGAAACTTAAATGCAAGTATATCATCTCTATTACTTTAACTTAATTAAGACAAAGATAATACATTTCTAAATGACAGTGGAAGGGAAAGGTATACACAACGACAGTATAAGAACATCTAACATTATTATGAAAAATATACTACTCACTGTTCAGTCATTACTCCATCGTGTGCCTTCAGGTCTGCCTCTTTAGGACTCTCAACCACGGCTAAGTTTTTATCCTCGGCTTCTTTTATTGTCTTCATGATGTCCGCTTTTTTCTGCTGAAGAGCTTCCAGTTTGGCATTGATCTTCTCCAACTTGGATTTCAACTTACCGTTGCTTTTATACTTGTCCTCAAGTTTTCTCGTCTTCTCAGCTTTGTCCTTTTTTGCATCCTTTTGTTTCTCATCTTTACTGTCTTTTCCTTTCTCCTTCCTTTTACCTTTCTCGTCTGCTTCACCGTCCGATATTTTCTTGTCATCCTCAATTTTTATCTCTCTTGTGGCGACTTCAACCTCATTCACCTTGTCTTGCTTGTCTTCTTCATCTGACTCCTCTTTGCTCTTGACTTTCTTTTCTTTATCCTTTTTCTCTTTTTTATCCTTCTTGTTTTTCTTCTCTTTTTCCTTCTTCTGACCCTCTTCATCATCATCCTTCTCTTCCTCCGTTTCTTTCTTATCTTCTTCTTCTGACTCCTCTTTGCTCTTGTATTTCTTTTCTTTATCCTTTGTTTCTTTCTTATCCTTATTGTGTTTCTTTTTTTTATCCTTCTTCTCCCCTTCTTCGTCATCTTTCTCTTCCTCTTCATCCGACACCTCTTTGCTCTTGTCTTTCGTTTCTTTATCCTTTTTCTCTTTCTTATTCTTCTTGCATTTCTTCTCTTTATCCTTCTTCTCTCCTTTTTCATCATCCTTCTCTTCCTCCGTTTCCTCTTTGCTCTTATCTTTCTTTTCGTTGTCCTTTTTCTCTTTCTTTTCCTTGTTTTTCTTCTCCTTATCCTTCTTCACCCCTTTTTCATCATTCTCCTCTTCCTCTGTCTGTCTCTCGTCTTCTTCATCCGATTCCTTGTTTTTCCCTTTTTCATCATCCTTCTCTTCCTCGGTTTCTTCTTCTGATTCCCCTTTGCTCTTGCCTTTCTCTTCCTTGTTCTTTTTCTCCTTCTTGTCTTTCTGCTCTTTATCCTTCTTCTCCCCTTTATCATCATCCTTTTCTTCCTTCGACTCCTCTATGCTCTTGTCTTTCTTCTCTTTTTCCTTTCTGTCTTTCTTTCCCTTCTTGAGTTTCTTCTCTTTATCTTTCTTCTCCCCTTCTCCGTCATCCTTCTCTTCCTCTATTTCTTTGCTGTCTTCTTTTTCTGACTCATGTTTGCTCTTGTCTTTCATCTCTTTATCCTTTTTCTCTTTCATATCTGTCTTATGTTTCTTCTTTTTATCCTTCTTCCCTTTTCCATCATCCTTCTCTTCCTCGGTTTCTTCCTCCGACTCCTCCTCTTTACTCTTGTCTTTCTTTTCTTTATCCTTTTTCTCTTTCTTTTCCTTCTTGTATTTCTTTTCTTTTACATTTTTTGTTGCACCATCTTTCTCGTCCTCTGTTTCCTCCGACTCCTCTTCGCTCCCCGTATTTTTTACTTTATCCTTTTTCTCTTTCTCCTTCAATTCCTTTTCATGCTTTTCTTCCATGTCTATCTTCTTTTCCTTTTCCATCTTTACTTCTCCCCTGGCAACAACAACAGTTTTGCCTTCCTATCTAAAATTGTCCGCACGTCAATGTGCCTTTAATTTCTCCAAGGTATCTGAGAAGGAGATGAAAAAATTAAGAAAACAATTAGTCTATAATTCTCATGTGTAATGAAAGCACTAGGTAGACAAGAAAATAACAATAATGGTAAAAAGACTGGCAAACAACTTAAGATTTTTCTCAAACCAATGAAGGACAAATAATGTTTTCACAGGTTGCAAAGAACAAGGATAACTAAATGACTACGTATTTGGTCGACTGGCACTAGGCAGTTTTTTCTTTCTTTTTTAGACATCCGGTATCTAAACCACGCCCAACTAATCCGGATTAACGTCGAGTAGGCACTAGGCAATTAGAACCTAATGAACCACAAAGTTGTCTCTCACAAGGCAGTTTTGTTCAGCAGATTCATTGGCAGTTTTGTTCTGGTATTACCATATGAATCACATGGTAAGCAACAGAGTCATTATCAGTTGTAACACGATATAAATTAAAAGCTAAATATCAAAGGGAAGTCGACCATATGAAAATATGGTAAAGAGGCAATATGGATTAACTAGCTGTAACTTACACATACCCAGAGAAGAAAAGAACCATCAGTATTATGTAAACCTGATTCCAAAAATATCATTCAAAGAAACATTTTCTTATATCCTTTTCCTGCGCCTCTATATCCCATGCCACATTATTGTTTCAGCTTGTAACTGATTTTCAGCATTTCTTGTTCTTTATAAGCCTCACTTCACTACAGTTTTCTTCTCTTTCGTTCTTTTCGTATCACACTAGAGTGATTCACCACATAATATATCTGTTGACCAATCTAGCTCCTAATTCAGATGCAGAAAACTCATACTATCAACTATAAGGTTCCAAGAGATATCACACTGGTAATTGGAGATAACTGCAGAGTTGTCTCTAATCCAATTTTAATAGAGTCAATCACAACCTAGATTCCCTTATTATTCTAATCAACAGGACCACAACAACAAATTTGGAATGTGTGAGCTTGCTAACATTGCTGGCTGTATAAAGGAAGAGAGTTGCAGTAAGTCGATAGCAAGTGTAAAACTAGTCAATTTATGATAAATACATAATACAACCACAACTATCCAAATTTTCTCACGAAAAGAGAAAAAGGAAGTGGGATTTTATTGTTTTCAAATTTTATGATTGAGGCGCAGTTATTATTGTTATTAGTCAGACATGGTTAACAATACATAATCAAAAGTGAATCACAAACAAGATTGATATAGAGCATACAGAAACTTATTGGATGACCACAATCAATCAAATCGGTAATTCTTGCATGGAAATAGGAAAGTGATACTGATATAAAAATATAAACAATACAGAGATAAAAAGATTTTATGCTTTAATCGCATAGCGGGAGTTCTAGAGGGGTTCCAATAAAACTTATTAACCCCAAATTAACATCACATAAACTATAAAATGAATCCTCAAAATTGATTGATAAAGCAGCCCCAATATATATTTGCATATAGCGATCTCAATACCACATAACTAATCAATAATAAACGAGTTTACGAGAATGAGAGGAATAAGAAAGAAAATCAATTAAAAGAGCAAAAAAGATAAACTTTTGCACAATATTAGCAACACCCAGGTGAGATAATCAGAGGAAATAAAAAATAAGCAAGGAAATATAACTTACCCTTTTCAGTAAGAAACAAAAAACTCCAAGAAAACTCTGTGCTCTATATAAAGTATGAAAAAGAACAAATATGTTGTGGATATTAGAACAAATCCAGAAGTTGGGAATTTATAGCAAGAATTGAAGATAAAGGACAGAATATGTTTATATAACCGCGTGGCGAACGTAACACGGAGAATTGAATATTTGGTTTGTAAAGTGGAGTTGGACGCGTGGCACCCGTGTATCGATTCGAGTTAGAGGGGATTGCGAGCTACCACGAAGCTCCTTTCATTTTGCACTTTTTTTTTTAATCCATTTCATACTAAAATTTTAGTACTAAATTTTGAATTGTCTAAAGCTCATTAAAAGAAAAAATACTTTATCTTAAAAGATGGAAAATTCTCCCTCTCGTCAAGGTAATGTTACTAATAAATATAATATGTAAACATCCATATGATTAAATTTTTACCATCCTGTCACTCTCCTTATTGGTCGTATCATTTTATTTCTTTTATAATTTTTTCTCAAATATATTTTTATTTCTTTTACAAAATCATAAACAACTCATAAAAAAAGAAAGAAACTTATATTACTCCCTCTTTTTTCAAAATAAATGTTATACAAGCAACTAGAATGATAACATTTGATTTATTAAGCTATTATTAAAAATAGGCTTAAAAATACTTTCATGAGATATTCATCCAAAATAATGTGAAAAATCATTCATTTGGCTGGACTAAAAGTATCATGATAGTCTAGCTTTTACTTTACAGAAGGGAGGTTATGACTTATGAGGAACACATACAGTCCTGTTATTAGAAAAGGCATTCCTTTTTCATTGTATACTACACATTATTTATCCGAAAATCAATGGTTTCTAAGGGTGTATTTGGTATTACGGTAATGTATTTCAAATAATAAGTCACTTTTTTGGTATTTGGTTATTAGAAGGGGAGCCTTGGCGTAATGATAAAAGGAAAAATGTCCAAAAATGACCTTGTGGTATTAGAAATGGATCAATTATAACATTCGTTTAAACTTGAATCCAAAAATAACTTTGCTGTTATAGAATGGGTCTAATAATACCCTCGTATTATTCGAAATTGATCAATTATAACCCTTGTTTAAATTTGAGCCCACCAATGAGTCTCTCATTAAAGAATGAGTCTAATACTGCTATTTCTCTCGGTTAGTAATGATTAGGAGTGTAAAATGGATATTTAAAAACCGACAGAACTATGTCAACCAATTTTTAAGTTTCTTTTAATAAACCGTAGGTTTTATATAAATCTATAATCGTACCGATAATTAGGGTAGATTTTTTATTTTATAAAAATAAACCGAAAAAATATCGAATCGTACCGAATAAATTTACATGTGAAACATATATTTATATATTGAGTTTAAAAATAATAATGTATTAAAATTTGTACATTATTTATATTAATACATTATTATTTACAAATATAAATATTAGACTCATTCTTATTCGTCTCATTCTTTATAAATATTAAACCCATTATCATTTTAAAACTTAATATATAAATATCGAACCGTACCGAATAAATTTACATGTGAAACATATATTTATACTGGGTCTAATAATAGGTCTGATATATTTACATGTAAATTTATTCGGTACGGTTCGAATATATTTACATGTGAATCATATATTCAAATGTAAATTTATTCGGTACGGCTCAATATTTTTCGATTTATTTTTATAAAATAAAAAATCTACCCTAATTATCGGTACAATTATAGATTTATATAAAAACCTACGATTTTATTAAAAGAAACCTAAAAATTGGTTCGGCACAGTTTTGTCGGTTTTTAAATATCCATTTTACACACCTAATCATTACTAACTGAGAGAAATACCATTATTAGACCCATTTTTTAATGGGAGGGTCATTGGTGGGCCGAGAGAAATACCATTATTAGACCCATTCTTTAATGGGAGGGTCATTAGTGGGCTCAAGTTTAAACAAGGGTTATAATTGATCCATTTCGAATAACACAAGGGCATTATTAGACTAATTCTATAACGGCAATGTCATTTTTGGACTCAAGTTTAAACGGAGGTTATAATTGATCCATTTCTAATACCACAAGGTCATTTTGGGCCTTTTCCCGTGATAAAATTATTGTCATGTGACTAGGAGTTCACAGATTCAAGTTGTGAAAACAGTTTCTTACAGAAAATACAGGGTAAGGTTGCGTACAATAGCCCCTTGTGATCCGACCCTTTTCCAAACACCGCGCATAACGAGAGCTTAGTGCAACCAAATGACTTATTAAAAAATACTTTATGGAGACAGCATTTTTACTAAAAAGGGATAATGACTTTCTTCACTTTGAACGAAAATTAGTTTCTTCGCAATTATCTCTAACCCTTTAAAGACAATTTAGAAAATTTTCTCAAAGAATAGACGGATTTGGTTGGATTGGACATATGGTTATAACTTTTGAAAATTCTAAGGGGTAGTTTGGCAGAGTGTATAAGAATAGTACTGAATATAATGTATTAATAGTTTTGGAATTAATAATGATGTGATTAGTTATGTTGAAATTAAAAATGTTCACGTAATTTATCGATTATTTAGTTCGGTGCATTAAAAATAATATGCATTGCATACTTTTTTTAATAAAAAATTCTTTGTTTATAAAAATAACCTTAAAATTTGTGGAAAAGATTTTGAAAGAGTAATTATATCTTTATACATGCTTATCCATATTTAAAAATATGGCATTGGTAATATCATAGTTTGCTATGTATAAAAATAGTATTTAACAAGGTGTAGGTTGAAAAATACTAAGAGTGCCAAACAAGAGATTAATAGTACTAAAGCTAATACATGTATTATTTCCCCTAATACTTCTTACCAAACGACCCATAAGGGATGTTAATATTTCATCATTCACCTTATGTATTTAAGAGATTGTTTGGTTCGCGATTAAAGCTATGCAATGATTATATAATTTTAGGATTATAATACTAAGCTCCCGTTTGACCATATATTTTGGCTTATTTTTTTAAAAAAAAATTATTTGTTCATGGAATATGATCAGTTTTTTTTAAAAAATGTTGAAATTTTTTTTCAAGTTCCTAAAAACTTATTTAGGGTAGTTTTTTGGTGAAATATTTTCTTCCGCTCACAAAACTTCAATTTTCTTTCAAATAAAATATATGTCCAAACACAATTTCAACTTCTAAAAATTATTAATCTACACAACTTCAAAAACTCTTTTTTCAAATTTAAACCAAATCTATATCCAAACGCTAGCTTAGATTAATAATCCTCTAATTATTTAGTACTAGTGATTTGGTTCATATATAAAAAATTAGATATGCAGTGTATAATCTATACCTTGTATTAGATTGAAGCTAGATAAGTTAGGATAAAGTTTTGTTATCAAATTTTGACCTTATATATGAGTGACTTATAAAAGGTTTGGAGAGTACAGTTATCTTTTTGATACTTTTATACGTGGGACAAATAACACCAAAAATTTGATATAAAATTTATATCGATTTATCTATACAACCCCTGGGTAGAATCCCGGTAACCAAACACCCATAAGACTATTCTAAGAGAAACATCAAACGTAGTGGGCTATTGTTAGCTTTAGCTTTTAAAAGGGGAAAATCTAGCTTTATACCTATTAAGCCCAAATTATTTATCCTTTAATATTCAAGTTCAAAGATTTTACTTTTCTTACCTATACGGTCTAAACTATTTACCCACCTACCCAGTCCCCTTTACCTTTTCAATTTCTTTAAACAAGCGGAGTCCCACACCCCAAACGTTCATTTCCCCTTTCAAAAAACATCCATAATTTAGTCTTTTTAGTAAATGATGAAATTCCATTACGAACCCATCCATTCACCCCTTAAACAATACAATTTTCTATATAAATTCTAAAAGACAAGTTTTCATATTATTGTACATGAGTTTCACTCCAAAATCTTCTTTCTATATTAGTATATTCTTTTTTTGTGTATTTATTTATATTTCTGAACTCATGTGTTGTTGTAGTTATATATTAAGTTTCCCATATCATATTTTTGTGTGTGTGTGAAGACCCACCATTGTTGAGCTTGAAGCTCCTGAATTTGAAATTTTGTTTTGAAGATTTATTGTTTGATTCAATGTGGGTGCTATAAAATATAACTTGCAGTACATTCGAGTAAGCTTCCCGGATCTGAATTTTTACGTGTATTTGAATATCCATCATTGTTGGGCTTGAAGCTGTTGATTTTTTTTTTTTTTGAAGATTTTTTGTTTGAGTCAAAGTGGGTGTTATTAAATATTGTATTGTTTAAAGTACTTTATAGAAGCTCATACTTAAATTTGATCGCATTTGGAGCTGATTTGAGGTGATTGAGATATAATTTTTCAGCTGAAAATCGAAGAATGCAGTTACCCAACAGTATATCGCTACGGTATACAATATGATGTAGGAGTATATAGTTATACTACAATAGTATATTGTTATAATATACATTATACAATATACTACAATGGTATATTGTAATAATAGAAGAAGAACACAATTATCTAATAGTATACCGCTACAGTATACAATATACTATAGGAATATATAGTTATATTGCAATAATATACTGTTATATTATACAATATACTACTATAATAGTATACTGTAATAATATGCATATACTGCAACACTATGTTGCAATAGTATACAATATACCGTAAATAGTATACTTCGAATCCTATTTGTTCTAGGTGCTATTGTGCAAAGTTAAAGTCATTGTTATAGTAATATTATATTGTTATAATATACAATATAATATAACAGTATACCGTAATAAATAAATCTTTTAAAAAAAAATATTTTTCAACTAGTTCCTTGCAAATATTTTCTTAAATGAATTTTTTGATGGAGTTCCATGAAAAATAATATTCACTATATACGAAGTAGGTGTCGGAAGACATAAAATATATTTGTTGTTGTTGTTGTTGTTTGGTATACTATTGAGACAAGTATTTTACAATGACATTAAATACTAATATGCCATTTTATTATACTAATACACCATTTTATTATAATGATATATAATTTTGGATCCTATGTGCTAGAAATATTTACACTAATACATACATTTTTAAAAATAAAGAAAAAAAGAATATACATGAAAAAAAGAGAAGAGAAAACAGGTATAGTTCTAATATTTGATTTAAAGAAGAAAAAAAAGAAAAAAAGAAAGACAAATAGTATATTATACTATCAGTTATATTAAGAAGGTGAATAAATGTTTACTATATAAATTATTTTTTATTATTGTATAAAAAAGAAGAATAAAGAAAAGGAGCAAAAAAGTGAATGTAATTAGATTATGTATAAAAAAAAAAGTAAAAGACAAAAAGAGCTAAATTAGTTTAAAGGAAGAAGAAATAAAGAAAATGAACAAAAGGAAAGAAAAAGAGAAAAAATAAAATAAAAGAAAGGAGCCAAAATTGAGTATGGAATCAGATTATTTGAAAATAATAAAATAAAAAATAGTATGATTTAAAAAAAGAACAGAAAGGAGAAAAAAGAAAAGGAAAAAATAGCCAATTACCCACAAAAGATACAATATATAAGAAAAATAATTAGTTTAATGAGCAAAAAAATAAATGAATACATCTTAATTAGTTTGGTAAACTCCCTTTTAAGTTCAAACTTCTAATTTGAAAGTGAGAAACAGAACTATAGAAGTCCTTGTTTGAAGAAAAGAAACGATAGAATTTATTACTACTATTAAAAATAGATACTGTAACAGAAGGTTTGAATTGAAGAAATGAAACCTTCCTTCACGCGCTGTCACTGAATATTCACACGCTGTTGCAACAGCAAAGCACATTCTTTCATATCGCTGTCTCTGTCTCTCTCCCCCCCTCTCTCTCTCTAAAATTCTCAAAGGGGTCGAAAGCAAAACTTATAGAGAAGAAAACTACGGAGGAGAGAGAGACAGAGAGAGAGAGCACCAAAAAGATCTCTCATTCTTCTCCACAATGAACGACCTTTTAAATGTAAGCTTTCTACATTTCCCCCTAACACCCCCTCTTTATTTGTTTTGTATCTACATTTTCTTGATCTATATGGCAGCTGAGAAATTTCAAGAATTGGGAAAAGAATGAAATCTTTTTCGACCCTTATTCGGTTTTCCCATTTTTCACTGCTTTCTTTGGTCAAAGGGTCTATTTTTTTTAGGACGATGCTGACCTCGACTTAGGGTCATATTTTAGTTGCCATGATAGCTACTTTACCATTTGTCTTTTGATCTATATGAGAGCTGAGAAATACAAAGAAATGAGAAAAAGAACAAAACTTGTCCACCCCTTTTGGATTTTTTCATGTTTTACTTCATTTATTGCTCAAAGGGTCAAATTTTAGTTGTCATGATAGCCACTTAACCTTTTTTAAAAAAAATCTGTATGGCAGCTGGGAAATACAAAGAAATAGGAAAAGAACGAAACTTGTTAAATCTTTTTGGTTTTTCCCATGTTTCACTGCTTTCAATTTCTCAAAGGGTTCATGTTTTATTGGTCATTTTTTGTTTATCCTTTTGGCAGCTGAGAATTGGGAAAAGAACAAAACTCGTTGACCTTTTTTTCGTTTTTTTTTGTGGGTATTTCAATGCTTTCATAGCTCAAAGGATCAGATTTTATTTGCCTGTGTACCCAATTTTTCCATTTTCTTAATGACAGCCGAGAATGACAAAGAAATGGAAAAAAGACAAAAACTTGTAGTGAACCTTTATGTGTTTTCCCTTGTTTCGCTTTTCATAGCTTAAATGGTCAAATATTTGTGTGTCATTACTCAACTTACCATGTTCTTCTTCTTGATTTGATTAAGGAAAAAAAGGTGTCTGTAGTAAATAATTGTTTATTATTGTGTATTCTTGACGGCTTCTAGCTGATGAGTAAGTTAGGAATGAAAAAGACAGTACAAAATGACATTTGGATCATGACAATTGTTAAAAAGCTGCATTCTTTGGCACCCAAGGGTATGACCTAGTGGTCAATGCAGTAGGTGAGAACCATGAGGTCTCAGGTTCAAATCCCAGCGGAGGCAAATACTAGGTGATTTCTTTCCATTTGGTGGATAGAGTTACCTGTTGCTGGTGGGAGGTGACAGGTATCCCGTGGAATTAGTCGAGGTGCGCGCAAGCTGGCCCGGACACCACGGTTATCAAAAAAAAAAGCTGCATTCTTTGGCCTTTCTTTGCCACTATGATGAAGTTGGCTTTTAAACTTACTGCTGTAAGGGGTAGAAGAAGTGAAGGAAAACCACTTCTTGGAATTTCCATCGCTTATAAGCATTTTTAATGCAAAATTTTATTATATAAGCTCTTTTATTATGCCGTTACAAAACACTACAGCAAGGAAGACAAGTGATTCTTAGGCTTCGTTGTCAATGGTTATGTCTGAATGTTGTCGTGTCCCTGTTATGGAGGGTGAAAAAGGCTCAAAATCTTCTCCTTCCAGGAGCACTATTCTCAATTGTTTCCCTGTTATGGAGGTGAAAAAAAGTGTCCATATTTTTTCCCTGCACATATTTGAACACATTTTTTTTGGTAAGATTATATATTAGGAGGCAAAGTTTCATGATCCTCTGTAGACTCCTCTCCGGGGCACATTTTCGACCCGAGAATTGTCAAACTATAAGATGTTTTTACACCTTTTAGCAATATTTGGGTTGGCATTTTGTTCTCTAATAAGTGCTCGGTCTAACGTCTTGCTGAAATAAGAAGGAACAAATGCTAATATGGTGTCATTATAACTATCTCAATCTCCATGATAATAGATGAAAGAGTGTCACTACTCACTAATCAGATCCATCTTTGTGCTGTAAGTTTGAATCAAAGAGCTGATAACTGGATATGTGAATTGTAGTTCAAAATTTCGCTCTATAAATTGTATATTCTTCATAACTTTTTGGTCTGATATGCTACTCGGACTCTTCAAAAATGTTGTTGGGTGCGTGTCGGATCCTCCAAACTTAGTACATTTTTGGAGGATCCGACACGGGTGCGGCAGCACTTTTGGAGAGTCCGAGCAACATAGTCTGACAACCTGAAAATCCTTATCCTTCTCAATGTAGCATGTAAAACTCTAATAGCTATGGGTATTGTTTGTCATTGGCCAACTGTCATTGAACCTGGATTTTCTTCATGTAGTATTAGATGTACGTAAAAATAAGGTACCTGGTGCAACAGTGAAGTGTGCAAGCTGGCCCAGATACCACTATTATTAAAAAAGATGTATGTAAATTAATGGCCTTTGTTTTGCCATTTTTACATAAAAAATGATTATCCTAGGACTACTTTTTTGTTTCTTTACTAATGATTTCGGAGGATATTCGATGTCTGTGTCAATAGACTTCTCCAAAAGTTTAGTATATTTAGTGCTATTTTAGTGGTCCTAGTCTTTTAACTTCATTCACTCATGTCGGCTTTGATATAATCCTTGAAGCATGTTGCTGCATGTAATACTCAATATAAAGATCTATATCCTTTTGGTAATGCACTTGTTGAAAAGCATATAATATTTCATTTTTCATATTATAACAGCTTGATTTCTCTTGTAGGATGATTTTGATACTTTGGAGGCCCCTAGGCATCAAAATGATAGAAATGGAGATATTGAAATGGGAACCCAAAGAGCAATGAATTCCGGGGAGCTAGGCCTCGACGATTTCTTTAAAAAGGTTTATAAATAATCTTGTTTCTTTTTTAATGGAAGAATAATAGCATGATTGTCCTATCCCTCTCCTTCCCCTTCTTCAATTACTTTCTCTGCGCATTTTGAAGTTGATCTCATGAAGCTTTCTCACTTCCTCCATTTCTTTCCCCACTTATCTTTGTGTGCTAGGTTCAACAAATTGAAAAACAATATGAAAAACTGAACGGACTACTCCAGAAACTTCAGGTATATGTCTTTCCTTTTTTTTCCTTTCTGAATCTTTTTCTTCAAAAGGTACAATTGCCATTAGAATCATGCAAAGGAGTGGCACCTAATTTCCTCGAAAGTGCATTTGAGTACTTCAAACGTTTTCCATTTTTCTTTTACTTTTCTGTCTCAGAGACATTGCTTCTATCTCTTACAACTTGTTCATTATTTGAGCAGGCTCATGCCTGTATTTCTTTTATTGAGTTTGGTTTCTTGTTGTGTGTTATAAGATATGCGTTCGAGGTCTTTGAAATTCTAATGTAACTTCTTGGTTTAATTGAACATCTTTTTGCTCCAAGGTTCAACTTTTACATACAGTGATTTTGTTTTAAAGTTCGCATTCCTCGATGCGCTAATCAAGCACACAAAGGTGCCACATTCTAAATTTCCTCTGGATTTGGATATTTATACTAAAACCAGTAAAACTCTAATGCGTTATATGATTAACTTCCTTTATATTGACCACCTAATTTATAAGCTTGTGTATCTCAATTTCTTAGTAAAATTACAACGAGCTTCCTTTTCCTTTTCTTTGATAAGTATTCTGACGAGCTTCTACAATTTGCAACAACAACAACAACAACCAAGTATAATCCGGGGTCTGGGGAGGGTAGTGTGTACGCAGACCTTATCCCTACCCTGGGGTAGAGAGGCTGTTTCCGATAGACCCTCGGCTCCCTTCCTCTAAGAATTACCCACCTTGCTCCTGGGGTGACTCGAACTCACAACCTCTTGGTTGGAAGTGGAGGGTGCTCACCACTAGAGCAACCCACTCCAAGGACATAAGCAAATATAAAAAAAAATACTCGTTTAATTTTATATGAGGGTATTGAACACACAGAGTTTAAGATGCTAACAGGAGTTGTTTAAGGAAGAAAATATTAAAGTAGTGGAAATAGTTAGTTTAATACATCAAAAAGTTTAGCGTACGGAGATCAAAAAATGTTGTCAAACTTTAAAACGTTCCAAAATGAAAAAGAAGTCATATAACAGATGAATTGGTGTTCTATTTACGGGCTCCCTCTAGATTAACAAAAACTCAATAGAGCTCCTCTCCTGTAATGTTTCATTATGCTGATCTTCCTTTATCTAGGACAAATAGAACCTCTGTTTAAGGTCGACATGTTCTACATTGCTAAATCAAGTTTAAACATTGTAAATACATTAAAAAAATGGTGTTATATTGCAGTCTCACAATTTTTTTATTTGTAGAGGGATTAGAAAGTAATATAAAATCTGCTCAGCCAGTACATCAGTACAATGTCAGAGGATTTATGTTAACCGACATTATCAAAAGTACATCACTCTAGCATCCCAACTATCCTAAAAGATTCATGAAGCTCCACTGGTTATCCTAAAAGTTATTTTGTTGCAAATTTGTAATAATTACATGTAATTACTCCTTTGGTTGATCAAGAGATAATAATTACACCATCAATAAGAGTTCAAGACTGTTTCCAACAGGGTCCTAAAGTAAATCTGAAATAAATAGGAAAAGTACGCTGATCGTATGGGAAACATGATGGCTTATCAACATAAATGAAGCAGGCTCAGAAATGAGCTTCGTATGGGCATACCATTTTTGCTTGAATAAATATGACCGGGAAGGAAACTAACAAATCGTTCACAGTCATCACTTAAGGCTTTCATCTCTGAAGAAAACCATACAGACCCATCAAGACCCCATCCCATATGAAGAAAACCATACAGACCCATCATTCTTCTACAATTTGAAGAATGAATATTTTGAGTATACATCTTGCCCGAGACGGTTTATTAGATATTAATTGTAATCTTTCGCAACTTCATTTTCCCCTAGTTCATTGATGTTTAGATTTATTAAGAGCACTGTGTCAAAAAGATAATTGGTTGACTGCCATTTTGACCTTTAGCTGTTTTGTAATATAACCTAGCTTCCAGAGACAAATCGTGTTCTTCTACATAACTAGAAGGCTCTTCTATATATCCCCTCTAGAATTAATAATTCTCTCTCAAATTGTAGGTCACTTAGCAGAAGATGTATGAGCTTAGAAGATCCGTGTAATTTCTTTGTTCTTGAAATACTAGGTAGATATGTAAATACTTAAAGATCCTTCCCAATGTTCTTAACAGGATGCTCATGAGGAATCAAAGGCTGTTACAAAAGCTGCTGCTATGAAAGGTAATAATCCATCTTTATGCAGTTGTAATACTTGAGCAAGTCATATAGCCATTGATTTGCATGATTATGGTATTTTGGACTCGTAGTATATATTATATACTCACTCTAACCCATTTTATGGAACTTAGTTTAACTTGATCGGAGTAGGAACTCCTAATGTGTTACCAAAGTTGAATCAAATATTTTCTTGGTATACCATACAATAGAAAGTAGAATGAATTAAGACATAAGATAATTAGACACTCCCTCTATTCCAATTTAGGTGTTTTATCTATAAGTATCTATCCCAATTTATGTAACACATAGACCATATTGTACACTTCTACAAATGATAAACACATTAGAAGTACAGATAAAATATGAGAGCATGCCCTAAAGCAATTTGAGAATGGATTAGTGCTCTGTCCTTAAATTTAGAATGTTGACAAAAAAAATTGAAGCATGTAGGTGCAGTTTATTGAATGTTTTTTTTTTGGTTTTGCAAATGTAGCAAATAAAAATAAAAATTGAAATGGGACTTTTGCACTGAGCAAGATCTTCCCTTTGCTTGGGAAAGTCCATTTTCCTTATGTGTTTGCTGTTGTTTTTAAGTAGGTAGTTGTTAATCGATAAAATTGTAACCTGCAGCAATTAAGCAGCGAATGGAAAAAGATGTCGATGAAGTCGGAAAAATAGCTCGATTAATCAAATTAAAAATTGAGGAACTTGATAAAGAAGTGAGTAACATCAAATTCTTACATGTCTTACTTTTGGTCCTTTTATTTTCTCTCTGTTTCAATCTATTGTTTATTCTCTTGCAGAATCTAGCCAATAGAAACAAGCCGGGATGTGGTAAAGGATCAGCTGTTGACAGATCAAGAACAGCTACAACAGTGTAATTTCGACTACTTTGTCTCCTTTGTTTCTCTGATAGTTATTTCATTGTCACACAGTTGTTATTTTGACATTGTTGAATGGGTATCACAAATTTATTATAAAGAGATGCTCAAATTGGTTGGCTATGACGTATGTAGACACTATGCTGGGGCAAGCAACAACAACTACTACTACGCCTCAGTCCCAAACACTATTGTTTTCACAGTAAATAGAGTTTGAATTCTTGAATTTGTTCTGATCAGGAGAGTAAATAATGGTTGTGCTAGGGGATGTACAGTCTGTTGAACTTGATTGTGGACAGCAGAATATTTTCAGTGTATTTCCTCCTCTTAGTAATTCATTTATTTGATGGGTGGTTCTAATCCCTGTTAAACAGAAACAGTGTGTTTCCTCCTTTTAGTTTGCACACATGTGGAAACACTTCAGCAAGTAGTTTCCAGTTTGTCAGTGCTTAATGCATCGGAAAATTTGTTAAAGTGAAGCCCTCATGGTTTTCCTTAGTCTTTCCCTCTTGCATTATTGCACATTCTCAATACTTATCTTGATATACCTATGGTATGCACTTAACTTGTTATATATGCTTGCAGTTCCTTGAAAAAGAAGTTCAAAGATAAGATGGCCGAGTTTCAGGTATGTAAGACGTTAGTTAAGAATGGCTTTTTCTCTAGGCTTTACTTGCTCTAAGGTTCAGTTGATTTGAAATATTTGCAGACTTTAAGGGAAAACATCCACCATGAATATCGTGAGGTTGTTGAAAGACGAGTATTTACAGGTGCAAAAAACTTCTGAGTTTGAATTTTCTGCATGGATTTTAAATGTTTTAAAACAAATTCTAATTGCTATTTCTTTTTCTTTTTTTGTATCTTTCTCTTTTTGTGGTCGACAGTGACTGGTAATCGAGCTGATGAAGAGGTAAAAGCTTGTAGTTCTTGTGACTCATTGAGAACGTAGATTCTTTTTCGTATATCTTCTTATTTGCCCCCTTTTCTTGTTTTCCCTCTATTTTCACTTCAGACTATTGATAGATTGATAGAGACTGGGGATAGTGAACAAATATTCCAGAAAGCTATTCAGCAACAAGGGCGAGGACAGGTCCTGCTCAATTGTTTTTGCAATCTCTTCCTTTTATTTACTTTGTATTGTTACCTTATGCCCTAGTGTTATTAGCATGTAACCTCTTCACATAGCACTTAGGATCAATATCTGAATGCTTGAAGCTATTATCTCTGGGATTTAGAAGTCCATGCTTTTAAGCAGCTTAAGTTTCTGTTGGCTTTTCCACTGGCTTTGTTAAACATGGAATTGGGCCATCCTATTCCATTTAGTGCTGTTTTATTTATCAATTCTTTAACATGCAATCAATGTTTAGGTATGTTTTTTGGACTCACATAAAGCCCGTGATGCCTTACTCCAGCAACATTCTTTTACCATCTCAGAAGCGGCTTTATTGACGACATTGGAATGATCCATCTTTCAACCCTCTTAAGATTTGATAGGGAGAGTTCATAGATCGTCAAATTCCTAGAAATGGATTGAACGGTAGGAAATGACTATTATGGATGATCTGATGCTAATACTTCAGGCTCCAGATACGGCAGAGGTTCTATGGGGACCATGTTAGGTGATTGTAGTATCTTGTGACCATCATAACATCTTGCAAACAGCTCTTGTTTAATGTTATGTTGTGTTTATTCCTTTATATATTCCCTTTCTGTTAAATGTCAATGCCACATCCCTTCCCCTAAAAACATAAGAGAAGAAAGTCTTAGCTGCTTTCCAACTCGCTGGAAACCACCATAAAGTTATTAACATTCATCTGAATCCTTACCCCCCACCCCACCCCCCAAAAAAAGGAGGGAAGGAGATTCATGATTTGACTTCTGTAGTATATGAAACCAAGTAATCTTATTCTTCCTGTCCTTTTGAAAAATTCCTGAGCTGGATAAGGCCAAGTTGACAAAGATCTTTTTAATCCTCAAGCTGCTAATGATTGATCAGTGGCTTTCCCTTGGAGTAGTGTAGCACTCAAAAAAGTGAATGACGCAACATACTGGAATTATGTTCAAAAGAGGGGAGATAGCAGGGGAACTAGCTCTAGCCACGTGGGGATAGAGGCAGCAGATAATAGTGGTAGGGGGTTATTATTTTGGCGACAGACATGGATAAGATTTTCTGGAGTTATATTTTATTATTTCAATGCATATCATTTTTTGGCCGCCAATCTTGATCTAATGACCAAGTATGATGAAACATAACAACTAGAGCCCGAAATATACAATGAAAGTTAACCACCCTGATCCATATTCCTTATTCTCTCTTCGTGTTCTATTAAATAAATAATATTACATGCAAACTTTTGGCCTTTTGTGTGATAAAGAAGCTTAGGTACGTTAATAATCTTGCTAGCGAGGCACTTGAAATTTTAGTGATTGGTGATATAATAGTATACTGGTTCTCATTGTTGGCGGCTTGCAGATAATGGGCACTCTAGCTGAAATTCAAGAGCGCCATGATGCAGTCAGAGAATTAGAGAGAAAGCTTCTTGAGTTGCAACAGGTATATACTTTCCTTAGTCACATCTAGTCTGGTGCCAATTTGGAAACATGACAAATTAAGGAATATATATATATATA